GTGATCAACATTTTCGTCCAATAGTCCAAGGCCTTCTAAACAATAATACCAGAGAGCTATGTACAAAATATTTTAATTTATATTTAACTTGTACAAATGCCCCCGGATATTATCCTGTAAATGAAAATTATAGTGAGAAAACATTTACATTTTGGTTTTTATTACAAGTAAGTATTACTTTTGCAATAAGAATAGGTAATATTTACTTTTAATAATATTATTTTATTTTAGGATGATTTATTATCGAATGATGCTGGTCCAGATAATTCATTACTAACTATTGTTAAGCCATTATATGTATCTTTAACTCAAGTCCTATTAAAAAAAGTTGCTTATCCTGAAAATTTAGAATCGTGGACTCCAGATGAAAGAGAATTATTTCGATGTTATAGACAAGACATATCTGATACCTTTGTATGCACTTTTATTATACTTATTACTTATTAGTTTTTTTAATTATGTATTAATCAATAGTACATTTTAAGTACATGTATATTATTAATAAGATTAGTGTAAAGGTGCGTTTAGATGGCGTGAGTTTGACTCACGAGTATGACTCGTGTGTCATACCCGCGCATCACTACTGTGAGCGAGTCCCGCGAATCTGATTCATGGTGAGTCGTGACTCACCTAGATAAAGGGTGAGCCGTCAGTAGGATACTAATTAAATCGTTTACACGGCGCAAAACAAAAGTGCGAATCGCCTTTGACGCGCACCTCGAGACCGACTAACTGACTGCTCGCCTCGCGAGTCGTGATTCTCGTTCTACAGCCGTCTACACGTCACGAGGATTGATGCGCGAGTCAAACTCGCGCCGTCTAAACGCACCTTAACAGTTATCTTCAATTTTATGCTTTAAAAAAATACTGATCTTGTACCTATCATTATTTTTGCATTTTATGTACTTTTTGGTCTATTCAAATGTAAAATGTCAAGCACATTCTTACATTTCTTAAAATATTATTTATTATGTTAACTAGTCTCGCAACACCATTTTTTTAAAAAATATAAAATTATAAACTAAAAAATTAAAATTAAATTAACTTCAAATACTGTTTCAGACTTACTGTTACTTCATCTTACAGTCTGAGATGTTAGATGTGCTGTTAACGATCTACAAACAAGTAACATGTGACCGTGAAACTGCAATTGCGCAATGGCAAACGGTTGAGGCATGTTTATATGCTTTCACTGCAATTGCTGAACCTCTTCAAAACCATGACTCTCATCCTCATATAAAACAATTAATGTCATCTCTAGGTTCATTACCGTATGAACAAATAGATCAAAAAGCTGCCGTAGCTGCAATGGATACTATTGGTATACTAAATATTACAATTATTATTATATTATTTCATATAGGTGTACATACTAAATATATATATATATTATTATATACTATTTTTAGGAGCATATTATTATTGGATGGAAACAAATCCGTCCTATTTAGATTTAATTGTGCCTCTACTAATGATGGGTCTTCATAATAGTAATATGTTTTCCTCGGCCTCTATTGCTCTTAGAGATATAGCTAAAGAATGTAGACAATCCATAGCTCCATACAATGATGTTATATTAAATACGTCAATGGTAAGAGTTTTATTGTAAGCTTAATGTTAATTTATAATAATTTTAAATTTTAAAACATTTTAGATTGCTTTAAAACAAGTAAAGAAACAAAAAGAAGAATTACGTTTAATGTACACTATTGGAGTTATTTTGTCAGCTATGCCATTTCCAAAATGTAAACCATCTTTGGATATGTTTATTAATCCTAGTTTGGAAGTTATAACAAATATATTGGCTATTGAGGTTAATTTATATTTTGTTTTTCAGTATTCCAGTAAATCAATAATTTATTTAAATGTGTTTAATTTATATAGGAAAATGCTGAGTTTGTTAAAAATAGATCACTGCTTCAAAATAGAATCAGAGTTCTTAGTTCATTAGTATCAGCAATTGATCAGAAACATACAGTCTACCATATAATAGAAACAACTACTCCTCTACTGCATATAACAGCAGTGAAGTATTTCATTTCTTCTTCTGAAGATATATTATATGCTGTAAGTTTATTAATTTTATTTATTAACATTTTTTGTTTAAATTTCTTACTTTTTATAACATTTTCAATAAGCAAAGATATAAATATGTAATTTTGTATATTAACACACATAATACATTATGTTTTGTTATTTTGCAAAATTTAAATTTCATAAAAAAATTTAAAACCATCTTATCTCTATTTTAAATCTATGCTATTGTCACAATAACAATCGTCTATCAAGATTCACTAACATACTATTTAGTTTCAAATGTTTTAATAGTATATCCACACAAATAAACAATTCACAAATCACAAATATACAATATGGTTTTTATATCATTAACAATGAAAATGTTGATAATAGATGTTCCATGTCATCTGGTATAAACTATTATGGTATAATACCCCATAGATTTATAAAAATATATAGCCGAATTCCGCACACAAAAATAGTATAATACCTCACAAATTTATTAAAATCAATACAAATTGAAAAATAAAAATATTATATAGAATTTAATTAGAATTCCATAAAATCAAAATACACAAATTAAAACATATAAAATGCGTGTGTTTCATCAAAATAATTAAAAATAGCATCTTTATGTACATTTTAAGCTTATTCAATATTATTTAAGTAGGGCTTTGGCCCTCACAAATTTCAAACGCTATTTGTGCCAATGTGCATATATTAGAGTGACCATACATCTCGTTTATGTTCCTCTACCCTGTTGTATCCTGGGGAATCTTTGGGACACCAAAATGTCCCATTTTCAGAATGTAGACCAAAAATTAACTAAAATAAAAAATAAAATTTGTGAGGTGGAATTGAGTATCAGAAATTACTGAATAACTGTAAAACCAGATGGCTTGTACTAATGCCCTCTATCGAAAGAGATTTGTAGTTATATGTACCACTAAAAGATTATTTCTTAAGCATAAAAAAGTGTCCAATAGTTTCAAAGACTTTCTGTTTCAAAATCCTGAGTGATGGCTTTTTTTGAAATGTGAAAAATATATGATTAAATTTGTGTGCAGTTCTGTGCCTTATATGTATTTTGCACATTAGTCCGGTAGTGGACGATGCCCAATAATCTATTTGTTCTACAAAATTGTTTTCAGGTTGTTTGTGAATTCTTGAAAACGATTGTTTCCAAACTACAAGAAGACGGTTCGTTGGCTTTAAATGTGATTATTGAAATTCTTATGATTGGATTTAGAAAATCCCCACAACCTGCAGGCATGATACTTTTCAAAGAAGTAATATATAGCTATTAATTAAACCTTAACTGGATTATAATTTTATTCACTTATGACTATATCATTGTTTATTTTAGATAGTAATAATGTTTGGGCGACAAAATGTATATATTCCAATTATTAAATCTACATACGAAGAAATTTGTATGAGAGTAAAATGTATGTTTGAACAAGTATCTCCTGCTGATCAATTTAGTCTTGGTGATGTAATGGAGTCTTATTTATCTCTTCAAGGACATATATTCAGGAAATGGCCATTTATTGCTGTGGATAATCCGAATGTAGATTTTACATTTGTTTTTAAATTAGGTACTAATTTAATAATCAAAAGATTTTAATTTATTATGTACTTTTCTGTTATACGAGACTACGGCTGTTATTGCGACTACCTCCGTTGTCGAGACTACCGCGCTTATTTTGTGAAACATCACAATCCTGTTATCTAAGACTACCAAAATGGTACTTCCTGTTATACGTGACCACCTTATTTTTCTTGCCTTCTTTGATAGATTTTTTAATAATATGTACTTTGGGGATGGCCAGAATGAAATAAAGAAAACATTTAAATACATAGTAATTATTCGTAATGTATTTTACATGTTACACGCCAAAGTGCCAAATTTGCCGCTGCATACGGAAAACAATAAATTAATAATAATAATACAAAATGGTAAATCCACGAATAAAATAATAAATAATTTAGGTACGTACTCTGGGGATGGCCACATTCAAATTATATAAAAAAAATGTAATACATAATAATTATTTGTTATGTACCAAATTTGTCACGGCATACGGAAAACAATAAATTAATAAAATAATAATAATAATAATAATATAAAATGGTAAGTCTACAAATATAATAAATATAATCGCAGCTTATGGATATCGTTCAACTATATCAGCTAAATAAGATAGGTAGTCGCGATTATAGCCGTATTCTCGTATAACAGGAGAGTATAATTTTGGTAGTCTTAGATAACAGGATTGTGATGTTCTCAAAAAACAGGGTAGTCTAGTATACCAGGAAAGTACCAAAATATATTTTAATTTTTAGCATCTGAAGCATTATGTGCAAACGAAATATTTTTGGCAAAAACAGCAACATTCTTTTTGACTGCATTTATAAGTACAAGCAGGGAAAAAAGATCCTTATTTAAAGTTATAGAAGATAATGGTCAATTCCTTGTTATGAAAATAATATGTATTATCAGTAAGTTATTTCAGTTAAATATGTAAGTTTAATACTAATTAAATTTTTGATTTATGTATAGAAGGTGACGTAGTAAAAACAAATTTGGACATTATGTGTGAAGTTTTGTTAATGTTAAATAAAAAATATAGTGATAATTTAAGAAGATGGTTTCACGATATAGTAACAGTGCAAAATATTGTACTACCCAATGTAACAGAAGATATGAAAACTAAATTTTTCAAACGTGTACTTAAGTTAGTGCAATGATTATTATGTTTTTAATATTAATGAGACAATTAACAGTTACTATGTTATTCATTATTTTGTTTTTCAGAGAAAAAAGTAACAAAAAAGCTTTACAAGGAGCAGTCAGAGAATTTTCATTTATATGTCGAGGTTTAATTCAAATAGATCCTGAAACAGAATCATGAATAAATAAACTTAATTCATCGAATGGTAATTTTATTCTTATAAATACAGCACAAACTACACAACATTTATTTAGTGTAGGCTTCATCGTCTGATGATGATATATTGGCTAGGTCTTCTATTTCTTCATGTTCCTTGCCACCTTCTATGCCAGCAAAGTTTTCAAGTAATTCTCGTTTTTTATAATCGAGTATTAGTTTTTGAATATCTTGATCACTTGGAACAGGTGGTGGATGTATATAGCGTGAACTACTAAACATAGTTGAAATATCTTCATCATCACTGTCAACTTCTTCAAAAGCCTAGAGTAGAATAATTGAAACAAAATATCAAACTATGCTCAAATACTGAAATAAATATATTTTTTCTTACCAACTCCATCTCATCACGAATTTTTGCCTTTTGACCCAAAGCTTCTAACACTAACAAATTATAAAAAAAAATTATCATTTAATGTTTAAACTTTAAACTTATCGTTGTAAACATACTCATTTTTTCTTTCTTTGTTTCCATGGCCAATAGAAGACCATCTTCCTCGTCCATATATCCATAATAATCAGCATCAATATTTTTCATAAGTTCTGCTCTAGTACGACGTGGAGGTGGAGGAGGTTCATGTTCAAACAGTTCTCGAACACCTGGTAAATCCTTAGCAGCTCCAAAATATTTATAACCTCTGTTACCAGGTACTTCTCTACCTTCATGATCGAGCATTCGTGGTCCCATTCGTAAGAAATCTGGACCACCGAGTTCACGAATTTGATATTCCCAATGTTTTTTTTCCCGCAGTAACTTGTTGATTTCGTCATTAAGATCACGTAATCTAAACTCTCCCAATCCAGCTAAAATAAAATAAATTGTAAATAGTTATATGAATTATGAATGATAAAAACATGTACCGTTTTGTATTTGTGCAACTTTTTTTGATATTTCTCTTATTATTTGAACTCTCCATTTTTCAGCTGCCTTCAAGTCTGTACATTCAGTGGCCAAGTATGGCCGTCGTTCTTCCTTGCCACCATGTTCCTTCACTTGAGCTGCTCTCCAACGAGCCAATGTAGTCCTATGTATAACATAAATACAAAAATTAAGGATGTGTTATGTAAATATTTAACTTTTAGGTTAGACCTATTCTCCTAATTTAATATAAAATAGAATTAATGTTTTCTGTGATCAATTTTTTTTTTCAATACCTAACTGTTTTGCAACAGTTTACAATCGTATGCGTGTTTAAATATTGTTTATACATTTTAATTAAATTATATACCATTTACCTACAACCTTATGATTGGTTTTATTTCAAAAAAAAAAAAATGAATACCTTTTCATGAATTCAAATTGTAAAAATACTCACATTGCTTTTTCCGCGTTCCTGGCCATGGTTGGAGTTCGGCTCTTTGGCGTTTAATAACAAAAATACGTAAAACGCCAATCACCGAGTCAACGGCATGTCAAAGTTTTTAAAATTTTTCATGATATGATAGCAACGAACTGAATAGTGAATACCGTCCACCGTCGGCGTTTGCGTAGTTCATCGTATCCAGTTCACCTCTTAATGCACTATGTATATACATTAATCATAACAACCAATAAAAAGCGGCGAACAAGATATAGGTATGATGGAAATGAAGAAATTTGCTTATCATTAAGTTGGTATCATACCATGTTTTTTATCATGGTATTTTTGGCAATATTAACGCATCGCTAACTTTATTACACGTCAGTTTGTCACTTAAATACTCAATAATTAATATGATTGACTCAATACCCAAATATACGGTCTTATAACTTGAGAGATATCTTCTATTCAATCTATTCTTCTTTAGTTCTTTAAAAAAATATTATATAATATATTTTATCAGGACTCGGATTCGGTACTTGGTTCATCAATGACGTGGCAACACTAGGTGGATAAAATGGAACGGTTTCCGATATAAGCATTAAGCAGTGTCACCACACACATCATTCGCGGCAAAATTGAACCTGAAGAAGAAAGGACATGTGCATTGTGCTTGCTTGTGCATATTATTATTATTTATTATTAAATATTTATATTGTGCAGCTGCAGCCGGGCGCCGGCCTGCGCTCAGGGCTCAGGCGCTCTACCAAGACGTGTGAATGTGTGATCGAGTGGATGTAAATTGTGAATTATAGACTGTAATACTACAGTCTATTATATTGCAATATTTTATACTTTTTATTTTAATAGTGTAATACTATTGTACATGCATCGTACATCCGTACCACAGCTGCAGCTAACGGCTAAAATAAATATTAAATACTGAATATAATAGAAATTATTGTTCCAACAGACACATTGAGTAAAACTGACTATTATATTTTTTATACATTCAGTTCGTTTGACTTATGTTCGGAATTGCACACGTGCACAGAATATAAAACGTTGACTAAATATTATTTTAACATATTTAGTGACAGTATTCACAAAGCCCATCTATGTAAATATATTATAAATGTTTTGCTTATAAAATAATGTACGATAGCAAAACGAAATCCCGAGAAATCACCTTCGAAGCGATGAGGTCTAATTTCGAGTAATTCGAAAGTGATGTACAATAAATTATTTTACGACGAACCACGTCCGAGCGCGAAATAAAGAATCGACAACAGCGTAATTAAGTACCCCAAGATTGGGGAATCGGCAATCACCCGTCCCCCACGGTAATGGCGGTAACAATTGAACAATCAAACGCGCCGTGGAAAACGGCGGTGACTACACGGCGTGCATGTACATTGTTCAAGCAGCGGCTTCGGTTCGGCCGGCAGCCGAGCGAGGCGCGTGCGACGATTATCGACTTTTATTTGCCGGGCGATGTGGTAACTCGGCGGAAGAGTCGACAGTGTCGCCAACCCGACGATCCGCCGGCGCGCGATGAATGGGTCCTCTGGGTGGGAAGCGCGGCGGTCGCGGGAACCGCTGCCATTGGTCCGCCGAGGCCGGGTTACCGAAAGCGCGTTCTTTGTCCGGCACTTTGGCCGTATAACGTATTTACGCGCAGCGCTCTCGCCTCCGTCGCCCACCGCTCCCCCGCGCCGCCCACTGCAGTGTACGCGCACACACGAATGATCGTCGTTCCCGGTCGTTCCACACCTAGCGCGCCAATTTCTCGTCTTGTTTATATTATTTTTGGTTTTTTTTTCCTTCTTTTTCGCGATTTCACGTATCACTCGTGCTAGTCGCCACAAGCGCCGATAATTGCTCGCCAGGCGTTTTGCACTCGTTTCAACGTGAATAACTACTGTAGAAGTTCTTCAGTCGATCCAGTGACGGACCGTATACCGCGTAAAATATCGTCTTCGGCCGCTATCTCTTTATTTTGTTGTTATATTGTCATTGCAATATTACCGGCGTACTACCCCGTCACTAGTAACCCCCACACCGCCGCCAACACTTGACATTACCACGGCGGCAGAGGGAACTGATAGAGAATCATCACGGCGGCCGAGATAGCGTACCGGTTCACTACGGACGGACACGTTTACGACGCACAGGTGAGCAAATATTTTTGGCGGCAACTTAAATGTTCCTAAGTAACAAACGCGTATATTGCGTCGATCGGCCGTCGTCGTTTTCGAAAACAGCACTTGTGCGGCCCGGCGAAAATGAACGTTCGACGCCGGTTGCCGGGTCCCGCCGGTAGATAAAAATTTTACAAGGTCAAGCCCGGGGTCCCGCCATAATGGATCGCGTAAGCCGATGGTGGTTGCCATGGCGACGGCAGTGACGAGTAGTTCCATGTATAATAATAATAATTATTATTATTATTATTGTATTATAAATTATTATTCCAATACGAAAATTAATAATAATAATACGGCGAGCTTTGAGCCTTTTTGTATGCCGTCACCGTATCACTGACATAATATATTATCGTGTACGTCTTCGTTTCGCGCGCGCGGCATATGTCGTGAGTCGTGACGACCGCGACTGCCGCGGTCCCGGCCGACTAACTCCATCCTTTATTGTTGTTTTTGTCGTTGTTATTATTGTTGTTGTTGCTGTGGTGGTGGAGGTTTTTTCGGTCTGGAAACAAAAAGAAACTGCGACACGTGCTCTTTCTCTCTCTGGTGCGGTGGTTGTTTTCTATAATTTATGTTTCGTGAAGTGGTATGATCTGGGTAAATCTTTCTGGCGCGTGTGGTATTTATTATTTACCGGTCGAAGGTTACGCCGTATACCGGCGATTGTGATAATATTCACCGGCGACGCGAGGGCGCTTCTTCTTTGTTATAGAAAGTCCACCCGACTACCTGTAGTCTGTACGAAATAGTATGCTTCTAGAACGTACGTGTTCGAGCCTCAAGGTTCTACCTCACCCCCTCTCGCTTCGTCTCTACCGGTTCGCTCCGCGTCCGTGGTTCCGCCGTCTGCGCGCGGGAATGTTTTCCCTCCAAACGGTCCACAAACCCGAGCAGTCTACGAAATATGTGTTTTGTTATGATTATTTTTCACCCAAGGTTACCCAATGTTACCCGTTGTTGTTGTTTTGGTGGGCAGCGGCGGTATCCCCTTCGTTACTCGATACGCGCATACTCATATAGTCATAATATCCCGTGTCTCCAATGCACTCCATTAATACAATTTGGTTTAGGTATTTCGATTTTCGGTGTTTTTCGTCGTACTGTTCAGAAACGTTCAATTTATTTCGACGTTATCGCGGTATTCGTCGGACACTACATGCCAACTACAATACGTAGTACACTGTATTGCTGTACACATAATTGTTGTTATTATTATTATTATAATTTATTACTGCCGCTGTTGCTCTGGTGTATTGTACAACGACCAACGCAGCGCCTCCCGTTCTACCATTGTACATTTTACCATTGTACGTTTACGTTTTTTTTATAGTATTAGTAAGGCGTCTTACACGCGTTATCGGGTTTTTTTTTTTTTTATATTGCCAATTGAACTCTTCGTTACTGGGTTATGTTTGTTTTCGTTACGAGGACGGTTTTGTAGTAGCTCCGTTTGTTGTAATATGAAATAATTATTACATCGGTCGATCGTGTTTATAATTTTATATTATATCGGAGACGATTACATAGGTACATTTTATACCACTGGCACGCATTTCGAGAGTACCTAATATTAATATGATATAGAGTAGTAATAATATATTATTTTTATGATACCGATTCCGTTCGTTTTGTCGAAAATTTGTAATAATCATTGAATATGCTATCGTGTCTCTTGAGTGGTTTTTGATCAATGAATGAAATGAACACCGGCAGATTTATGCGGTCGTTTTATTATTGAATTAAAACATTCCGTGATTGTAACGGCGATAAGATAGCACAAATATTAGTCACAAAACGTACGTGTGTACTTGCACGTTTGATATGTGCTATTTTAAGTAAATATACTCAATCATTAGGTATTTGATAACTTTTCGATCTATAGGTTATAATATAATTGATAGACATCTGAACAGATATTAGGTATATTAATATTTATTATACACAATATAGCTCGGTAAAATAGTAGAATTTAATTTTAGGATTTCGGACGACTCGCTTTGGATCATATTTTAATAATACCTAATATTTGTCTATATATCTTTACTAAATATTAGGTACTTCCCATTTAATATTGACAATTACTTGCCCAAAAGTAATAGTAGATGACCATGCCGTATCAGCGTAATAAAAGTACCTACGTAAATAGTAAATACTCTAATTATATCGGCGTTATTGCTTTTATTTTAGGCGGAATACTTAAGTAGCAATACGTTTTGAGTTGGTCTTTGGAATTAAGAAATTTATTTCGTTATTTTATAAAATCTAATAGTAGATAATGTAGGTATAAAACTTGATTTAAAATGATAATCTTTGTTCTTGATCATATTTATCATCAATGTAAAATTATTCATGGCCGAAATCATAATTTCAAGTACGATTTTAGAACAAACATAATGTTGTATTTTAGCAAGGGCTTATCGTCCCCCTTTTTCGAGTACGAGTATGTTATTGATTTTTAGTATTAACACGTGGCGCCATCTTTTGGCCTTTAAATACGTTTACATAAAAATAACTGTCAAATGATCTGAATGCATTTTTTTTTACAGTTTTTCATTTGAACTTTACAGTCTGAATCAAAAGTATACTTCAAAATCTGTATATTAATTTCCTTTGTCAATTCAATATAAACTTATAACAATATTTTATTTAGTATCTTCTGTTTTTAAAATGTTTTAATTTCATTTTGTTTACAGATACCTCAATTAAACAAACATCATCATGGATCTTGGAACATTAGATAGTCTTACTTTCTATCAAGACTGTATAGACTTTGACATGAAAAGTGATTATGATCGTGTGTTATCAAATAGTAGTTTCAACTATGATGATTCATTGTCATTGAATGATGACAACATGATGTCCATGATGGATCCGCTCAACTCTGGATTATGGCTCAATACCAATTCAGATTATCACGATTTAGCCTTCATGGAAGGGGATTTAGAATCGGCTATTATGGTTAATCCTAATTCTGTAATACCATCATCTGAACCAGCTGCAGAAATTAAAATTAAGGAAGAACCAGTTGAACCAATATTACCAAATACCTACCTGCCTTTTTCAATTAAACAAGAAAAACTTGAACCGGTGGAACCTGAAGAAGTTTTGATTAAGTTTCCCGAAATTATTCCAGAATGTACAAATATAAAATCTGAGAAATCACCATTTGAAATAACCAAAGTGGAAGAACTCAGACCTATACCAAAAGCTATTAGGCTATCTGATTTATTGAGTCAAACATCGAGTACTGGACACCAGAAGACTGAATTAATGACTGTACGTGTAACAATGCCATCAGCCTTGCCCACACTAAAGACAACTGTAACTACTAGGACAGTTCCTATTTCTTTTGTTAATAATACCATTTCCGGGCATTACAAAATTGTTAGGCCTAAGCAACAAATAAAACCGATTCAATCCAGAATCAATGGCAACAAAATGAATGAAAGCATAGGCCTTTATCCAAGACCTACATACTCCTACTCATGCTTAATTGCTATGGCATTAAAAAACTCGAGTTCTGGATCTTTACCTGTTTCAGAAATTTATAATTTTATGTGGTAAGAAGTTGAACATATAAATTTAAACAACTAATGATATGTCCATTTAATCAATTAATCAATTAATCATTTAATCATATTACATGTTATTTTTTCAGCAAACATTTTCCGTATTTTAAAACTGCCAGTAGTGGATGGAAAAACTCTGTTCGTCATAACCTTAGTTTAAATAAGTGTTTTGAAAAGATTGAAAAACCAATTGGTAGTACTGGTGCACCAAGGAAAGGATGTTTGTGGACAATGAATCCAAGCAAAATATCAAAAATGGACGATGAGATGCAAAAATGGTCGCGTAAAGATCCTAATGCAATTAGACGTGCAATGCTCAATCCTGGTAAGTTACGGACAAAATTAAATTACTTAATTAAACTATGTTAACATAATAATTATGAATGGTTATTTAGAACATTTGGATTTACTTGAACGTGGTGAGATGAATGAATGTTATGATCGGCGTGACAGTTATTTCTTTGATGATGAAGAAGAGGAGGAAGAAGAAATTATCGGTCAAGAAATGACATCAGAAGACGACAGAATCAGTGATGTCGAAGAAGAATCTGATAACGAGTCAAGAATTGATAAGGATGATTCACCGTATCAGCTAATAACATTTGGCCTAGATGATTTAGCTAACCTCAATGACCTCGGCAATGATGTAAGTTACTTAGTTTTTTTTACAAATTTCAATTCTAATAAAAATCAAATATATGATAATTTCAGATTGATGATGATGATGAAATTGAAGATAGTTCAAATGATGGCAGTTTCGGCATTGAAGCTTCAGAGTACAAAACAAACTTTGATGATTTGATATCTGTTCAAGATATACCTATGACATATGTAGTTCAGCCTCAAAATAAGACTGTAATCAACAATAAACGGCCGTATCAACAACCTTTATATAAGGGTAGTTATGTATTGACTAAAAATGTTGCATCAAGTGTACCAAGTCCAAAGCGAAAATTCATCAGTAGGCCTGTATCAATATTAAGGAATATTTAATATGAATATTGGATGTAATACAAGAATAACATGCGGGCTCTTAATTAATTGCAATATTGGTAAAACGCATAATTTAGCTGATACCCCAATTTTAATATTTTACTCATGTTAAAATAATTTAGGTAAATTGAGTCTGAATAGTCAAATTATAATGAATTACATATCAAACGTGTTATGTAATATAAATTTATACCATTTTATTTTATGAGGATTTTCGTGATTATTGCAAACAATAAAAACCATGTATATAATTTTTATTTGTACATCTACTATAGATGGAATTTTAGACTGCTAAATTTAGTTCACAATAGTCAATTACTAGCTATTACATCTTTATTTTATTTCATAATATAAGTATAAATTAATAGTTTAATTTAATTACTGATATTTTTTCAAGGAAGTATAAAAATCATTTTCAATTAATGTATATAATAATGAATATAAGTTAAACTTATTTCTTCATAAAAAAGAATAATTATGATTTCTATTTTGTTCTGTTTTATCAATTTGTTTCCTTTTTAATTGCTGTAACTCAATATTATTTAAATAAGTATATATATATTTTTGTATAATTTATGTTTAAATTTAATGGTATTTTTATAGTTTAAATAAATTGTTAAAAAATAACTAAATTGAAATCTTATATTATAAGTTGCAACAATTAATAACATGATAATAAAACCGTTTATGTCATACCAAATTATTATATTAATTGTCAAATTATCAACTATCTGATTTTGATACTTCCTTTTAATAAATATATATATATTTTTTTTATATAATCAATCTAATAATTGTGTTATTAGTATTTCATCTTTGAAATAAAATACCAGTCAATAAAATTTTATTTCAATTTTGTACTACATGTAACTGTTATTATTAATTTAATAAATCAGGACAAGTGAAAATACTAATTACATTATTATTACCATGAAAATAATTAACAATTTATTCAGATTGGCTCTTCAGACTCATAATTTGTTATTTTTTTTTCATGAACCATTTTGGTGAATTATTTTACCATTAAATGCATTTACCAAATCTAAAAATGAAGATTGGGGTTAACAGCTCAGTAATGTGTAGAATTAATTTACTTTAATAAATATTAATTATTTTGACTCCATCCCAATCAGGAGAATTATATTTATTTACAGTGGGATTAAATTTACCAATACTTGATATGAATTAGTTAAAAGATGTTTGTTATTTTAATTACATTTTGTATGATATGGGTTTAATGTTTTTCGTTGTATACCTTCAGTTCACTATTTATAATAATACAGATGTGGAATTACATTGTAATTCTTTTTATATAAAAGATTTTGTCTAAAATACTCTACTGTATTGCGTCCTGTTTTAGTAAGAAGAACGTGCCTATTTTGATTACCAGTACATATATTATGTGTTTTCTATCAATATATAATTTTTTATATCTTTTTTTTTTACATCTAAAATGTATTGTAATATTTGGTAAGCTAACTAAGGATTAAGTTAACCATAGAAGACATTGATTTTAAATAAGAAATAATTTAATTATAAGACACAAAATGTCAATAAATTAAGCATTATAGTTGATTAAAAAATATTTTTAAGTAATTAGGTATAATGAAGTAGAGTTTTTGAGTGTCAGAATTATTGTAGTATTGTACATATATATGAAAAGTCTGCAGCCATCGGCCAGGTGTGTACCAGAGTTCAAATTGCATTTATATTGTTTAATTTATTTATGAATATATATTTATATATTATATATTTGTACTTTTTCCTGCTTAATATTTCATCTGTCCGATGTGTCAATTCTATTAAAAATAAATGTCATACATTTTAAATAGTATTTTATTTCATTTTTCATAGTATATAACAATTTATAAACATCCTAAATCTAATTATCATTAATTCATTGTATAAATTTTATACTTTGCAAATTACGATATAATCAATGTCACTTTTTAAAATACTTGAGATACTTAGTCCTGTCAAATGAATCATCCAATTCCTCTACTATTTTGACCTTTTGTTTTGGCCTTCTTGCTTCAATTCTGCGTTTGCGCTCTTCTTCAGTAATTAAGTTCATATCTAAAGGTAACTAAAATCAAAAAATATTAGTGTTAAGTAAATATATTTTCAAATAATAAAATATTTTATTATTTGAAAATTATATTTACTCTAATAATCATTCGAGGATCGTTGAATCTAATGGTAAAACTTGAACCATCTGGTTGAATTATTTTGGTAAGGTAGTGTTGTGGATAAATGTTTCGATGAATTTTGGTAATAGCAGCTGATTTACTACTAAAAAAGCGACCACATCTAAACAAAAAAATCAGAATTATATTGAATTAAATTTTTTTTTTTTTTAACAAAATTCTTTATTACGCTATCTGTTAAAATTAGAACAATAAGCTTAAGTGATAATAACAAAACAGACAGAAGAGACAAATGTGTAAAATTATGGACCTAGTATTCGTTTTTAATACATATAAGTTATATTTGAACTAAATAATAAACACATGACTACACAAGTGACGGATGGCTTTCAAATAGAAAAATATAAATATCACAAATGTGTTTAAATATTATTTTTAAACCATCTGAAAAGCTGCTGACAACTTCTAACTCACAGAAGTTGGGAAAATATAACTGGTTCTGATCAGTTAATATACCTTTTAAAGTTCTAATATATTATATTATTACATATTAGCAATAGCGAAGCAGAACAGAAAAATACTATTCAAATTTACCTACATGGAATACAGAAAAATAATTTGGCATTACTCTGTGTAAATAAAAAGGTTTTTTTTCAAATTTGTAAGTTATAAATATGTGTACCCACCCACATACTCTATTTGTCAAAATCTTTATTTTTGCTATAGTATTCTGTATTCTTAAAATAGTTGCGGGAAGTGCACCCAAGGGTAGCTGGTCAATCCAGTCAAAATCCAAATACAGTATAAAAAAGAAATTTGTCTTTCAATCCGCCAGACACATACTGCAAAGGGAATTTAATGAAAAACAGGACAAGATTCCCCATGAAAAATAAAAAATATTTTTGTGATATCTATTGAAAGAAGTGTGATGTATGATAATGCTTCAAGATTTTGGTTTGCACACAGGCCTAAATATGAGTAAATGTGTATCAATAATATTGTCATTCTCGTTATGCCTGATTTCTTTTTATCCAGTGTCTACCAGACCTAAAGACTCATCCCTGCATATTGGAAATTTGTTTTATAAATTAAACATCAGAATCGACAATAAAAAAATATTTAAACCAGAAATCTGCAATTTTTAGAACTGTGATTAGGTGTCAATCATATTGTAAATGTAATACGAACGCCATAATTGTATATAACAGTAAATAGGATAGATAAGATATAATATATTATACCTATTCATTGTACCTAAGCACCTCATTATAAATGCTTAACATAGTATTTTAGAACACTATATATTATACTTGAATATACAATACTTGTGTGCATGATTGTTTGAGTATTTAGGATAAAAAAAATATTTGGTACCTATAAGTAAATAAAAAACACTATCAATTTTGAAACTTTTTTTTTTTTGATAGTATATTTTGGTTCATACTTTTACTAGTTAAATTATAAAATATTTGTTATTTCTCTAGGCAGATATCAAAACATATTACAATTTATAATAGTATATTATACCTATTGGTAAAATTTTTTTATATTATACCTACTAATGTTAGTACATACTAATATACAATATCAGTAACTAGTGGCCAAATATTGATTACCTGGCGATGTTGAGCATAATTTTTAAATTTGTTGCACTCATACCCAACGAAGAATCCTAGTATAAAAGTTTGATATGAATTAGTATGAACTAAAATAACAGGTACCTTTAGGTAAACCGTAAACGTTTAACGTGAAATTCGCACAGAGTCGCACAGGCCAGAGAATTCACGTTTGGCACGTTCTAGTCAGAAAGCCAGTGATAACTACTGATAAGCACTTGTCCAAAAAATGATAAGAGTCCGATATCAAAAAAGTACCACCATGGATAGGTTATAATCAGGGCTCGTAACTTCATGCACTAAAAAATGCATAAATAAGCATGCATTCATGCACTAAAAATTGTCAAAATATGCATTAAAATATGCACTTAAAAGTTCAAAAATATGCATTTATATGCATTAACATTTTTAAATTATGCACTCAAAATATGCATTATGTAAAAAAAACATGACCAAATTTTAAAATAATAAGAATAAATCCATATATTTTAAGATTATTTTATTCCTCCTAATTTTTATATATTTAACAGTCAAAATTAATAAAATAAAAAATAAAAATTAATACTTGTGAGGTTCAAATAGCTTTGTCATCTTTATAAATTTTAATTAGGTAGGTAGTCAATTTTGTCTAATTTGTGTACACCCTTATTCAGCACCAGCAATGAAAACATTTGGAATGAAATATTAGGTTTTTCATTTTGGGATAATTTAGTAATATATATTTTATAAGTGTTTTTTTTTATGTTTTCCAACAAGAGGGCGCATAAGTAGACAAAATATGGCATAAAACCATGGTTTCGTAATTCAAGTAATACGGCTTATTGAAGTGGTTTACAGTAAAAATACCTATTATAAAAATTGTATAGTAGAACTTTTTTTACAATCGTAAGAAGCCTGATTTTCGATATTTTTATTAATTAGCTAAATAATTATTCAATAAAAAATTTAAAAAACCGTTATAATTTACCATGCGATATTGGACGATTGGAACAAGATATCAAAAACCGGAAGAAACTTTTCAAATATTTGTCTAAAAAATATTTTTATGAAATAATATGCACTAACGACTGTAAAAAATCAACTATATGCCAAATATGACTTTACACCCAAAACATGCAAAAACATGCACTATCAAACTTCATATTATTATTACTATTGTTATGAAACGGATTTGTATCTCAGTTAGCATGTTTTCCTGTGTGGCAAGAAAAACATGCAGATGCATGAACTTACGAGCCCTGGTTATAATGTTATATACTTATATAATATATAGTTCAATGGGTCCACTGTGCATTCAAGATTTCATCAATCAATGACATTTCTAAGAGTGAAAATTGTGGTGTAGACAGGATTTTTTTCTGGTGGATAATGTGTTTACACAGCATGTGCGTAGAATGGTCAATTTTTTTGGAGGGGGCTTTAACCCTTCCAGGGGCAGACATGTAGCGACTCGTGGGGGGTTATTATTTAAACTGTGGGCCAAGCCCCCCACCCCTAACTACACCTATGTTACACAGAGTTTGTTCAACTAGGGTCCCCCATAACTCATAATTTTAGCATGATGTAGATATTTTATTGTAGGGAAAATGGAAACCTATTGTACAAAAATATTTGTATCTAGTAGTCAAACTTAAATTCTATTAATAAATAAATCTTCACATCTTGTCAAAATCACGAGAATTCAATAAATGTAAAAACCTCTAACAAACACAAAAATATTTATAAAAAGCAATAAAAACTTGCACACTCCTACCAATTTATACCGACGACAAAACATCGCAATCATCCGCATCAGAATGTCAGAGTGAGACACTCCTTAACCTTCCTCTCACGACCTACATCCCACACTCATATAATTTAATTAGTAAAAATCTTCAACTAATATATGCTACACGTGCCACAACTCACAGGCAATAACCGTCAAAGTATCAAACACATAATGCCATAGTGCATGGGCTGCAGTGCTGCACATTCAGTCTTAAACTTAGGAGTGCTAAAATATTTTACCCTAAAGTGAACAGTGGAAAGCTTTGCAGTTTGCCCCCCACATCCCTTTATACAGTTATACATACCAGACATGAATTAGTTTTATTTCAAATAAAATTATAAATTACTACATTAAAAATATTTGAAGTAGTGAATCTAATGTTCAATAAAGAATCTTTCTTGTCCATCACTCCAATATGAATACTTTCCTTTAAAATATGAAATCAACTAACAATAATTTTTTATTGTATTAATCTTCTCTATATATATAAAAATGGAGCCAAAAATGTATAACAATTCATCAATTGAGAACGGCTGGTCCGATTTGTCTCAAAATTTTTTGATGTTCATAATTCCCAGGAGAAGGTTTTTACGAAGGAAAATTTTTAAAAAGTCAACCGAATAATTAGAAAAACTGCAAAAACTATTTATTGAAGTCTGGAATTTGAACTCTATACCGTTGTCTTTAATTACTCTATGGTAGATGTGGACATCTCTACGGCAATTAATATTTAATACTGATATATTATTTATTATTATTTATTAGCTCGATGTACAATCAGTATAATTTATGGTTTCTATAGTTATTTTCTTCGACCATAGTTTATATGATCGAAAGTTGTTTTATAGTTTTGTGTTCATTATTTTGTTATTATTATCAATTTATTATTACGACTTCATTTTCCATTTTCCAGAAAAACTGCGTGAGTACAATTTTATTTTATTTTACTAATTAGCAGGGCTAGTGAGTTCATGCATTTGCATATCAATCTTGCTAAGTCGTATTTAATGCTAGGTGACATAGAAATCCATTTCAAGGTACTGTGGTTAAGTATGTGAAATTTTATGTTGCATATTTTTGCATATTTAGAGGTTTTTTTTAACTATTTGGCATATTTATGCGTTTTTCTATTTTATTGTGCATATTTTTATCAAAATTTGATCAAAATGCAATAATTTATATTTTTACACAGTATAAAATATATGGAAATTTTCGCAACATAAAATTATTAAAATAGAGAAGATAAAGTAAGTACAAACGTACGTATACGAATGTATAGGTACGTATAGCCCGCATTAATAGCAATTAGTAGAAAACATGTTATATGAAAATAGTCTTTACTCTTATAGTCTTATCTGACTTATCTTCTTGATACTTTTACAGTGGTTTACTGGTTTATTCTAGACTTTAACAATATTTCGAAAATCTTATATATTTTTTAACTTCGTTTTGAAATTATCGATCATGCCGAAAAAAAAACTGTCATCGGCCTGTAAACTAAGACAATTAGTAAAGGAATTTGGTGAAAATATATTCTCGGCCGACAATAAAATATTATTTTGTAAGGTTTGTGAAGTAAAAGTCGCGAGTGTAAAACGCTTTAGTGTTGTGCAACATATTAATGCTGAGAAACACAAAACATCACTTCACTGACTGCAATATAATAAAATATAACTTTTAATAAACTTTTAATAATATGAATGGACATTTTTTGTTATTCCAAAATTTACTTATAGTATTTTTATTTTTTAATCTACATATTTTTGATACATATTTTTAGATTTTTAGGGCATATAAATGCATATTTCTGAACTTTTAAAGGCATATTTCAATGCATATTTTTCCAGCTTTTAGTGCATAAGTGCATACTTATTTAGGCATTTTTTAGAGCATGAACTCACTAGCCCTGCTAATTAGCAATCACTTATTTAAAACCTGCATTTCTTATAACATGCACGAGTAACTATGCATGACTATGGATGACTATGCATGACTTGAAGTTTGGAATAGAGGTTCTAACCATATTTACACCGTGCAATAAGAAAGGATTTGCCGAAATTCGCATTTTAAATAGGTATTCAAACAGGGACATTGAGATTCACGATGGAAATTGGAAATTTTATTCTTATTTATTAATAGTTGCCCCTGGTTACAGTCTATAGTATAAATTAGCATTTATTTATTATTGGTTGCCATTGGTTATTCGGGCAGATCAGGTACAAGCTTGCATCAAATCGAATTATTGAACATTGCCTACCAAGGTTGCTGAGTTGCACTTACCGCAGCAAGTTACACCCAAAGGATTTGAACAATCATAATTTTTTTAAGAGTTGCGATTTTTTACGGGCAACCACATTTGTTATATTAATCCACCGTATTATATCAAAATAAACTTGGTATAACTTTGATACTTTAGAGTTAAATCATACACTTATACGTACAAACACAACTGGGTCTGTGATCTACCGCAGGTAGATTGCCTACCTTATATATACTGCTGCGAATCAGAATTTTTATTCCAGGCAACAGAATAGATAAGATAAATTTTGAACACCATACACCGAATTTTAAATAACGAATTGAACAAAGTTTGAGTCATATAGAGTTGGTACATTTAACGAGTAACGAAGTGCACAACATCAACTAGTATATTATATATTTATATAAAATGTAATTACATTAATATAAATAAATACAAATGGATAAAATAAATGTATAACGTATGTACATGGTTTAATATTATTATGGTAGGTATAGAAAAACTAAAAATAATTAAAAATTAAAAATTAATTATATTAAATCTAATTTTCTTAATTTTTTTGTAAACTATGTCAATTATATGTTCATTTTTACCACAAGAGTACCCTAACTAATTTTTCAGAAAATTTGTGGACTCCTTTTATAGAACTATTATTTTTAATAGGAACGTATAGGACGCTTCATCATTCTACATTTTATCAAAATTCGCGAGGTATCATATTAATATTTTGTATTATAGATTATTTTGATGAGGACGTTCTTTTTACTGCTAGTATTATACCAAAAATCATATCTACTTTATCTGTAATGAAGAATAAACTTTCAAATATATATTCAAATTAAAAAAAAATTATCAATAGATGTAGGATGTGAAACGAAATTCCCAAAATAACAATTTTGGACCATTCTCTTGAGGAAATGAAAATGAAAACCATATGTTTCCTTTTTGATCTATTTATAGATATAATGTATCTTATATAGGTATCAATAGTTATGGATTTTAATAAACAAACA